GCGACTTTCGCGACAGCTGTATTCCATCCCTTCCCTTCTCCATGTTGCACACTTTGTTTCACTAACAGTTAGCTATTCCTTCCTTAACATTGTCTTTTTCTTCATCTTCATAAGTTCCAGTCGTCAACTGCTGCCCGTAAACCCTTATGCAAGATAAGCATTTTTCGGTTCCTGCGAAAATTATATGTACTCTTAAACAATGAGTACTTGAAAATATTTCCGTTCTGGTAAATAAAATGAAATTCCTTCTCTTTTATGACTCACTTCCGGAGTAGTGCTTCGTGTAAATACCAAAATCCTTCGTTACTTAAATATCGTGCCAGAGAAGATCACGCAGAACGATCACTGTTATAGTACAGTAGCAGTCAAAGTTTTATGTCAGATACATAGTTCACTCAAATCCACTAAAGTGATTTAATCATAAGCTGTAAATCATCATATGACTCTGAGAAATTCGAAATTTTCAGAGAGTACACATATAGTGTGCAGTAACAGATACGTGAATTCAAAAGGAGCTTCTTTATTTGGATCCCTTACTATTAAAAAGCTGTGCTGCTTCTAGTCACTTTAGCGCCCCATTTAAGAGTGAGCTTACGATGCGTTACTTGAATATTAAAATAAAAACTGATTCGAAAAAACGTAAAAATCAGTCGCACTCAATCATCTGTGGAATAAGGGACAAGCGGAATACATCACAGCACAGGTTAATACCGCCCGTCAAGATTAACCGCTCAACTGATGCGGAATAATTTGGTGGTCACTTTGTTAGGCGTGAGATCGCTGCTGCTACAGCGCTTTTATCGTCTCCGCAATCGCATATGAGGGAGGAACAATCCCTACTCAACTGCCAAGAGACACTGATATTGCTATGGGTGGGATACTTACTTCCTTGCTCATATAGCCATAATTACCACTTCGTCGCACCTCTCCACAGTTATCTCCTCTCCTATCCACATGGCAGTGGCCAACGTTTTGTGAATGGATTGGTGGGATGTGTATGTGTGATGTGTAGGTGTATGTGTGTGTGTATATATGTATGTACATGTGTATGTGTGTGCGTGTGTGTGATGCGACAGCATTGCTTACCTCTCAGGCAGACACATACACTATGGCATAATGTGGTTGGTCGATAGCAATGATTCGTTCTGCAATGTGTTTTCTTTCAATTTGCGTCGGTATTTCCACTGACCTGCATCTGCTTCCCCATTGAGCACGTTGTGTACCTTATTTCGAATAAAGGAAGTACAGGCGAGTTTCCGTCTTGACTTTCAGTGGGCTACTATACCCACTGACCCACAGAGATACTGTTCGGGTGCTGTTATCATTCGCTGATGTGAATCGTCGAATTAGCTGACTGACTGTTCCGTATCGCTGTTCAGCGTTACCGTGAAAGAGCAGGAAGGAATCAAATCAGCGAATCATTATTTGGAAGTATTTTCCGGGGAGTAAGCGTTATAAAAGTCGACATCGGTTGCTTTATTAATAAACAAAGTCAGTGGCCATCATTACTCATCAGTTGTATTTCAATGCAACTAAAATTTTGTCAATGTATTGCAGTAGTTTCTGTTATAGTTGTAGGAGTATTGCTATAGAAATGAGCAGTAGTTTACAAGTGTTTTTGGAATTGAAGTTATTGCTCAGTTTCTGAGAAGGAAAGGAGTGAAGCACAACTTTGATTGTAGTTCTGACCGATAACACCAGCATAGAATTAGCGAAAATCTCAATTGTTAGACCGAACTTTTGTATACAACCTCCCAAATACACTACTGCACGACATCCTAAATTCAGTCAATGCTGCTTAAATTATACCGTTATGAAGTCCTCCAAAAAAGTTTAAAGGGTATTCCTTGATAAAATTATTAGAAGACGCCAGGTGTAGGAGTTGTCGAAATAATATTCATATGTAGTAGTGGCAAAATTTAGGGCAATAAAATTAATAGTTCTTATATATGTCTCAAATTAATTCCCAAGTTTTCTAATAATATTTTGACGAATTAAACTATTGGACTATTTGGTGCTGCGAAGTGTTGCTGTTGGGAGTATTTGGAGTGGGAATACTTTGACTTCTAAGTTTCAAAAAGATTTCGATGTTAGAAATGAGCGAATTTTTCGAGTTATAATTCTGCGGATATATGTTAGCACATACTTCTACTAACACAATTTGCTTTACCTCGCATTCCAAGTAATGCTGACGCCGAAATTTTTCGAGTTTTGAAAATTATGCTCACGATTGATTGGTGTTAGCAATTTTTCGTTGACACCACTATATATACTTCTGGCTCGTTTTAGGCTAACTAGTATCATTCTTGGTTTTGAGTTCATTTGCATGCTATGAAAGTATTTTCTTTAACAAAATTCAAGACTTTAAATTTTCTAAAACCTCCAAAAAATCGACGTTTTGCCACACTTTTCAATAGCAGTTTTTATCGGTTCTACAGTAAAGTGCACATATTGAAGTGTAGCCAATGTTTTATCTTCAGGAGGCTTGGAAACAATCATTTTACAGTAAAACCTTCAACACTTATCCAGTAGACTGTTTTCGACAATTCTGAGTGGAAATGAACTTGCTGAAGTGTTCTTTTACAAACTTATGTGTTTCTACATTGCATTGCAAAATAGACTAAATGAAGACCTTTTGTCTGTAACGATTAGGAAGGAATGGGTTGTCGAGATGTACGCAGTACAACTCTCATTATTAATCTCAGTGATTTGAATAAATGCCTTTAATAGTTGTGATGTAGGAATGGGAGGGATCATTCTCTCTAATTGGTATTCCTTCATGAAAGGCGTTAATTAGCTTTTATTGTTTCTTTCGATATAAATTGTGCTTGGAAGATAAAATTTGTCATAAAAAAGTACTCGTGACTAACATTTTGAGCTCTTTAATTTACTGCTGACGGATTTTAGTATCATCAGACTCAGTGAGTCCAATTCGATGCAGGAGAGGAAAGATTAGGTCCGGTCTGAAGTATTGCACCTTTATTTCAGTATACTATTTGTTTCAGCATATTACTACTTATTCCAGTATATTTTTTTTGTATACTGTGACTTGGACTAGAAAGTTCAAGACGTTAACTGCCTAACCTTAATTCCCTTAGATGGTAGTCCCTAGGGCAGATGCGTTAAAAAAACAAGTTTGGTGACTAAGAAAGTTTCCAAGATGTAAGTTTGTAATTTCACTAACATGGAGAGGCTCACTGCAATGAACGTTTGGTTACCAGGGTATGATTTTGGAAAAGCTGTGATTTGCACTGAAATAACGCCTAATGGATCAGCCATTTCGCATGAGATGCAAGGTAAAATACAGTCATATAGGTTATGAGAGTGTGGGGTAGGACAATAGTAACTTAAGGGAAACAAAAAAAGAATTGTTCATTAAGATTAAATGTGCGTTTGATTTGAGGTTTGGTTGACAGTAACATTTTGCTCGTAATTTAAATCATCGCTTTCTACTTGAAGTTGGCGTGTTATTTTGAAGGTTAAAACATTGAAATATGAGATTGTATTTCAAACATTACTGTTCTCAAATGATTTGTTTACCGATTAGAAAATTGCATCACTAAGATTTACTCTTTCAGATTCTCGTCGTACCACTAATAAATGTAATTAGGTGGTTATTAGAACTTATGGTGCTTGGATACGGTTAGTCTGAGAGATTAGAAATACAAAATACAATGATGATTTAGACCAGCGAAGAAGATCTCGGTGGTGTAATTTAGTTCGATGATGTCTGCTTTTTCGACCAACTTCTATCAGTAGATCGTGAATTCATAATAAGTCAGAGTGTATTTTACTTGAGATAGTGAAGGTCTGATAGAGTTATTGAACAAAGTGCCTGCCTTATCTGTGGCCAAGCAATGTTTCACACTTTACACTTTTGTTCTTTGTGCTAAATCTGTCATAAATGAGGTAGATTGCAGTAAATGCAGATTCTTACATCAACATCCTCATTCAGCTGCATCGATTTCATTATTACGCCCTTTCTTTAGATTCATTAACCTTGATTTTCTGAAAGTACTATATTTTATTCATTTCATCGACATTGCATTATTTATGTAAAAACGAGCCAATATTAACTGTTCTGATCTCCAAATTGATGTTCTTCGTACTTACTGTGTTACATATTGTTTATATTGCTCATTTTTTGCATATTTCAGCCCTAAAATATACGGCAGTCAACAACATCCGTGCACTTATTCACAACAATTTCTCGGCTCTGCTGGAGAAAGAGGAGATAGGGAAGGGACAGGAATCGGAATTGGCATTTTAAAACCAAATTTTGTTTATCCAGGTTAGTTTTTTTTTCCTTCCCTTGTTATGCTCATTGGTATTACTCGAAGGACACTCTTTTTATTATAGTCTGAATGCAGTAATTTTAGTTGTTCTTTAAATTCAAAATCGTCATTTATTCTTGATTTCGTTCTCAATTTTAATTTATGAATTGAAATAAAGTTTCATTTACATAGATTTATCTTGATCTCGAAACATTGCCAGCAGAGAGGGTAGAGTATCCTACTTTAGAGAGAGAGTTACTTGAGACTAATGAAGTCAGTTTTCCCTGGTTCAGTATGCAATGGCAGAATACAGCAGCATTGATATCATTGGTGGCAATTAGAGAGGAAGTGCTGTATTGTTTAATATTCAGCCAGTTGTTCATTTATTATAGCGTCTGCGACTAATCAGCATAAGCAAGAGCAGAATATTACTGGCGACGGCGAAGTTTCCTCGCACTGGGCAGCTTTCAAAATGATAATGGCTGAACGAGCAGCCCAGTGTTTAGCAAAACTTGGTTTGGACACTGTCACAACTGCAGCTACTTCCGCTACAAATATTCTGCATCCGCAAATAAGTCAACCACAAAATACAATTATTACGACGGATTCGACTGCGATAGTTTCTGCAACACCGAATGACTTGGTGACCACATCTGGACATCATCGAAGGTATTCTTGTCTAATAATATTTGTTTCTTTTGCTTTAATATATCTATGAGTAAATATCTAGTTACGGCGATAATTACAGCTCTTGTTTTTCGCAGCTTGTATTCTGCATTTTTGCATTGTTTTTAGCGACCAGGTTTTGGGATTTTCTTGCTTTCAGTAGGTGTGACTTGCTTCTTGAACAGAAAATAATCTTCCGGGGCTCTACTAAGATTTCAGTAAAATGCTAAAGTCTTAAAGGATAATGCATTGACTACAAACGAATGGCAAATAAATCTTTTGATAATTTTAGGTCTCGTAGTTTGCGCGAACGCACAGGTGTTGATCAGCGTCTGGAGCGGTTACCTAGTGGACCCGTAACAGTACAGAAATTTACACCACATACAGTCATTCCAGGAAGTAATATTGAAAAAAGGTTTCTACTGATTTATTAAATAATCGTTTTTTTTTTTTGGCACACTGAGTAATGCATTTTTTTTTGGCACACTAATAATGAAGTTAGTGCAGGTACTCCATTTCTTGTAAGCGCTTCTTAACGATATTACTGCTTCTTGTATTATGCTTCTATAGTGTTTCTTGTTTTTATGTCAGCCAATCGAAAAATCTTGAAAAAATATTGATTTTCCTTAAATTGGATATTGTGAGCTTTTGACGAAGACAAGCTAGATTAGAGAAGATCAGGCGAGGTTAGGAAAGATTTTTAATAAAAAAGAAGGGGTGAGGAGGAATTAAAAGAATGGGAAGGAAAGTATAAGGCTTGAAAAGAAGGGATTAATTTCTCCACAAAATAACCGCTCGATATCGTTTTTCATCTCTTTATAGTATTGGTTCCCAACTTTCTTGACCACGGTCACTTTGGCTTCTTTATTTGTAGTAGGGACAACAAGGTTCAAAAATAATAAATTTTGTTAAATTGATAATAAACTTTAACAAACAATGATAACAAACTAATTTTGGTACATATAGTATAACATTATAACCCGAATAAACTTCTATCCACGCAAACGAATCTAAGCATAACATAAAAAAGAAACAATTCTCGTTTGTTTTCTATTCACAGCGCCGTCTTCCTCGGTGGCCGTATTTTAGTTCTCACGAACCACCGGTTGGGAAGCACTACTCGTTTTTTTTTGTTTTTATGTTCTCCTAATAAAGAAACATCAAGTTAGATTAAATGTGGAAGAATGTATCAAAAGTGAATAGAAGGACTGGAACAAAACATTAAAATGCCTTCAACGACTTATAGATCATCACTTGATAGCGAATGATATTATAGCTTGGGATACTAAACTTAACCTTCAAATTATATCATTTTTATTGTATTGATGATTGAAATAGAAGTGGTAGGAATAATGAAAGGAATTGGAAAAGCGGTATAGAGCTTTGTAGTCTTATTTTATGTAACAGTTTAAAACTTCTGCCTGTTTACTTCATCGTCAAACGATTACGGCACATATTACAAAAAATCGATCAAGTTGGTTTGTAATTGTGGTATATCAAGTGGTATTATTTTTTTACTAGAAGACAAATACTTTCAGTAGACCCGTACTTATTCATAATTTCGCCGAACATGTACGATTGATGTCAGCTGATTCAGATTTCCGATTTTCTGAAGAATACGAAGTATGTTTTTATGGTAAAGTCCATTCTTAGTAGTGTGTACTGATGTTACCATCATTATTCTGAGCATTTATTGTCAGTTTCAAACATAATTCGGAAACTGCTTTTAATTTCATCATTGTCAGCACAGTTGTTTTAAATTAATGAAATTATCTTCTGGAATTTCAAGGATCTGAAATTGGTAGGACATGGACAAACATGTATAGCAGCGGACTTAACAGTGAACCGAGCAAAAAATCGTTTCACCAACATATTGCCATACGACCATTCTCGTGTAAAGCTTATACCAACTGATGATGACGATGGTTCAGATTACGTCAATGCATCTTACATTCCTGTTAGTTGAAATGTTTTTATCGAAAGTCTTCAAGACATGATCATTATCAAACTGTTAAAATGTCCTGCAAAATACATCATTTGTAATGAACAGATTACATAAAAGAATTATTCATTATTTTATGACAACTGATAGCTATGTGATAACCATTGTGAGTAGAACGCGAGAGGTGAAATATAAATGGCAGTAGTAAATGACGTTCATTACTTTTTTTTTACAGGGATTCAATTCACGTCGCGAATTCATCGCCGCACAGGGACCTCTTCCTTCGACACGTGATCATTTTTGGCGAGTTGTTTGGGAACAACATTGTCCGGCAATAGTTGCTCTGACGAAATGTGTTGAGAAAGGACGTGACAAATGCCATCAGTATTGGCCAGATAACGATCAGCTCAGCGTCCTTTACGCTGATATTGAGGTTTACATTTCTGTAATCCTTATAAGTATGCTGTATTTTTCGCTCTTAATTTTCTGATCCTAAGATAATTTACTCAAAAACTCGTTTTATCTACGACAATTGTATAGTCTCTGCTTCTCGTAAAGCTTATCTTTCTTAATTGCAAGTCTCTGTTGCATCTTTTTATTTCTCGGGTGTATAAATCCGTGTTTTAAGGTGACATTAATGAACGAAACAGTGTACGAGGAGTTCACAGTACGTGAACTTAGGTTAACAAACATGAGCGAACCATTGGCACCTCCTCGAACAGTGAAACATTTACATTATATGGCATGGCCTGATTTTGGTGTTCCTGAATATGCTATTGGTTTAGTGCATTTTGTTCGTCTTTTTCGAACTCGACTACCACCTTCACCTAACAATAAACCGACTATTGTGCATTGCAGGTTTGATATTTATTGTTGTGAGAAATAAAAAGAGAACTTGTTGGTTAATAAGTCCACCGCATATTCCAGTTTAAGTCCCTTCTACCATTAACAAATTCTTTTCTTCAAACTAGGATCAAGTCTGTTGCTTAGTATTATTGGCTATTTTTCAATGAATTTGCCACTGCTAGTTATTTGGACCTAATGAATAATAAGATAATGGGCAGATATGAAGTCCTATCATATTAAACTTAATGGAATGCCATAATAACACGGAGGCACTTTGATTGCAGTGCTGGTGTTGGTCGAAGTGGTACGTTCATAGCGCTGGATCGCCTGATACAGTGTGTTGCAAAAAGTTTACCACTCGATGTTTTTGGCATTGTTTATGAGATGAGACTCGATCGTTGTCATATGGTACAAAATGAGGTAGCGTTTTTCTAAATTCTGTTTTTCCTGTTTAATCTTTTCGGCAGCATCGCCACGGTTTATGATGACCTCGTACCAAATCTCTGCAGTACAACCATTTGATCAGTTCTTTAGAACTTACTGTTAGCCATCCATTAGCTAGGGATGATTTTTTGAATTATCTGGTCGGCATAAATGGGAACAATAAAATCGAAAACTTTATTCGAAACTTTATTTTCAGCAGCAATATATATTCATCCATCATTGCTTGCTCTATGTTCTGGAAGCGGAATATGATACGGCTAAAAATTTGATTGGTAACAATTCATCGCAAACTGGAAATGACGAGAAGACAATAACTTCGACTTTTCTCAGTGACAACGGTATTATCGGCTTTCCAAATAGTATCATCAGTGGTAGCGATGTCCAAATAATAAGCATTAATGGAGGTACCACATTTATTGGAACTGCATCGCAACATCAACCCAGTACTACATGGATTACCACCCCTCGCGTTGAAGTACATCTGAATCCAGCATTCGATGATGATGAAGGTATCGCTGAATCTGGCTTGTAACAGTTTTCCACTCATTTTAATATTTTGTATTGCATATTACTTACGAAAATACCTGGATGGGACTGCTACATTGAAATTGAACATTTTGATAGATTCAAAACTCACATTATTTGAACAGCCGGAAGTATAGGTCCAGCTTTCTTGACAACATTGTTTTAATGTTTTCCTTTCACTTTCTACAATAATTCTTTTCTAATTTCTTCGTAACTGTTTTCAAATATCCAAGGTACCAGTCAGGTTAAATAGTAATGAATTCTTAATACTCAGTCACATTTTGAACAAACTACCTCGTGGTTTGTGCAGTATTCAATGTTTCCATGATCTTCTTGTGAAAAATTTCTTTTTCTCATTCTTGGAAATTTGAAAATATCGTGAAATTATGGAATAGTACGGGTTTCTTTTTCCCACAATTTGTGATGTTTTATGAGACTAATGCCTCTGCGTCAGTGATTTTGTATATTGTTGTTCTGTTGCTCAATAAAAAATTTAAAAAATGTGATTATCTTCTCCCGCTTTTTCTCATTTGGAACTTTTGCCACTGTTAACTTTCGTAGGCATCTATCATTAATTCTTCCTACATGGTGATCGCTTCTGAAATTATTTGAACGAATAAAGTTTTAGTTCTAATTATCCTTCGATAACGTCGCAAGATACCACTAAACACGTTTTGAACACGTTTTGTGATAAAACAAAAGGCGATAGGTAGGATTCAGAAACCTCGCATCGAAATGATGAATTTGTCCTCACGGTAGTGTTTACATTTTGCTGAACTTGGCGTTCAAGCATCATCGTTCCAGTCAAGTTTTCTTAATTTATTCATTCTTTGAATCTATAATTTACTTGAGAATTTCGCTCCATTAATGTACAAATGACTGGGAACGAAGTCCGGACAATTTGCTTGGACGTGAATCTGACGGGTACGACATTGACTGGTGTCATCATCAACGGACACTTTGAAGTCTACGACACAACCATTATCCTGGTCTGAATCCTGAAAAAACTTTTAATTTAGGAGTCGGGTATTTGCTGGAAAGGGCAGTCGAAATTTCATTTTCGATTGAGATGAAATATTCCCCAAAGTGAGGACTTCTCTAAAGTTTGGATAATCGATTTTATCGCTATACAGTTAACGTCAGCATCACTGGCATAATCAATCGGGAATCAAGGCTTTGGTTGATACTGTAATTAATTTTAATTTTTAAAGATTTGGTAAAAAGATGCTAAGGCAGCATATGTTTTATTTGAATCTGAAATCTGCTGATAAGGATTAAAAGATGCAGGATGCAACCTCTAATCAGACTTCACATTGCCTAACCAGTCGATATAACAATCTGCCCAAAAAATAAAGTGCAGCTAGACCAGCTAGAATGGTGACTCAGAAATTTCGTGAAGTTTCTTTGGTGCCTATCTTTCTATCCTTCACATCATTCTCTTCATAGGTCATTCTGTCCATCCGGTAGTGTCTTTGCCATATTGGCTCAAAGGAGCATGTTGGCAAATGTTAGTTGTTGAGAAGTTTAGAATAGCATAAATTAAAATCCCTAAATTTCTGAACATGGGTGAATAAATGATATAAAACATAAATACGCTTTGCAATAGATAAGTCTAATGAGGGGAGTGTATTAGTTTTAAATTTCTGTCAATTAATTTTATAGCTACATCTAACAAGTCAATTTAGATAAGCTGCTGAGCAAACAACGCCATCTTATGTTTGCTTCATAGTCGTCCTATCTAGCTTGCAGTTGTGTCAGCAGTGGAAACAGACTATGCAACAGTTTTAGTTCTAGTAGAAGATATGGAATCATGATTTATGAAAGAAGTTATGAAGGTCGCACGTAGAATCTCTTAGCTGTTAAGAATGATTTTTTTGTTGGAATTGTTTCGTTGGATTTTATTGTCGGATTGGTGCTCTTTCGAGATGAAGAAACAGTTGTGGAGGAATTACTGGAAAAATGCATAAAATTTTGAACAAAACATTGAAAAATTGTTCTTCTCTTCATTTGTAATGTAAGAATATTTGTGCTTTAAAGCAGACTGAGATTAATCAAAGTGTTAAAAACGAGCTTCACAGATTTCGAGTTTCCCATATAACCATACTCTCTAATTAACAATAATCGTCTATTATCATCGGTCATGTAAATGCGATCCGTTTTTCGTAAGTTTTTTTGCGAAACAATGGGGAAACAGAGCAAATCTTCGACTCGGTTAGCAGAAAGAATTTTTTTGGAATCGACATCCTGTCGTAACGATATTCGATCTTGCTAAAATGAAACTGATTGAAGAAACTACCGATTTCATTAGCCCTTAAACTTTACCGTTTTAATTAGAACATTCAACTTTCGTAAAACCGAGTCAAAATTAAAATTATTGAGTCTGTGCTTTTGCTTTCCATTTCTAACTTTAAATTGAATTTTGTTAAAGATAATAGTCACATTCATTTTGAAGATTGAGGAAATTTACCTCTGCTTTTTTTATCTTCTCATATTCTTCAATGATGTCACCTGAAAAAGAGGTTACATTTACTTTGCAGTAAATGATTATCCAGAAGCTCTTGGAAGATGTTATTGATATCAGCATCAACCAACATAAATGAAGCTTACTTTTAGTGGTCGTAGTCATTGCTATTCCTGAAAATTTTTTCTGCAATTCATTATAAAATCATTGTAAACTCAAAACTGAATCATTATAAAAATTTACTTATTTGAAATTTAGAGAGAAATAAATTTTTCTTATGAAATAAATCCTCACCTTTAATAACTCATAAAACTTTCCAAAATTTGCAAGACAGTCAGATTGACAACCGTATCTTATTAGTTTTCGACCGTGAAATGATAAAAGAGTTCATTTGTCGTAATAGTATTCAAATTCATTATATCATAATATTTAAATTAAGTCATCGTGGCGAGAAAGCAGCTATCGGAACTTTTCGCGGAAGTGTCACATATGTATTGCTTCTTTGCTTTTAATGCACTTCACACATTGTTTTGTGTGATCGAATGGTTTGCATACACACCTACTTATTGATATGTATTTATAAGTTTTGTTATTAAATATTTAGTAACATTAAATAATCGTTGCTACATCGTCGGTTCTCCGCTTACTTACACGTTGACACACGTCACAATCCTTCTCGATTCCGAGTCCATCTTTCACGCTATCGTAATTTTTGCAACTCCAAATCTTCTAAGCGTATAAAATTTAAGCCGTAAATTTAAGCACACCAATAATTGTTAACATCTGCCGGAACTCAAAAAAAAAGTTCAAAAATCTGATAGACATAAGTGAAAGATACATAAAACAAGATTTATTAATTGTTACGACAAACAATAAAGCACAGAGCGGAACAAATCACACATAGTAACTGGGTGAAATAACATTTTGTATGAAAACGAGCAATTTCTGTATCACATCCTTTTCACCCGTTTCAATCATCTTATCATGATGAGTGCGCAAAAATGACCGAAGTGTCTCTGTTATTGTGTTCTGTAAACTATTTTAATTTTAATTTATTTAATTCAATAACTAATCAAACCATTCATTACACTGTTCGAAACCCTTATGGACAAAGATGACCACCACTTCTACCCGACGCGTACGATACCCTTCCTAGCTTTTGTATCTGAATAATGCATATTTGAAATAAAGTAATGATACCAATGTTAATTCAAGAATACTAATAAGAATACTAATTTTTCAATTTAGAATCGAATTCAGAATCTAATTTATTATAAAAGATAAATATACCTGCTGCCTTTCACTAATGCCTGATAAAGGATGCTTGGAAGAAAAAATGGTTGCTTACACGTGTTAAAGAATCAGAGTTAATGCCAAGCTGGCAGTACTTTGGTATCATATCGAATACCAATGGTGGAATAGTGAATGGAAAAGCACGAATTACTGCGGATAGGGCCAATACAGCGCCATGTCTCTTGCTTAGTATCTTATGATTCGTAAGCTCGAATAATTCCTTCTGATAAATTATTTTTATAGTTTGCAATTCTCTGATGACTGCATCTCTCAGTTCAAATTTCAGAATAATAAAGTCTTCTCAGTGAACTTACAATGTAACAACTTGTGAGCGATTGAAAACCGCAGTGTATTAGCGCTGTTAGGCAATCAGCTGCTTCTCGTCGTACTTCAAGTTGTGTATGGCAGATTGCATTATAAACCATTCGTCTATAATTTCATTTTTTATTCATTTTAAATACAGCGAAAAATCACATAGGAACTGAAACGAAATTTTTACATAATTCATTGGTGCAATTGGGAAGAAAAAAAAAACTGACGGACGTTTTATTTGACTTTTTATCCACACTTCCCAGACACGCAATCAAATAGGCTCAAAATACAAAAGTGGTGACATGTGAAAATACGCTAAGCTAAGAAAGGTATAAGCTTGCAAGAAATGTTTACGGATTTTGCTTAAAATTACGACATTTTCCTACCGTTCATCACTTTTTCAAAGACGCAATAACTGCGCTTCCTGCGTCTGTAAACAAACGGGTCAATAAGCATCCTTTGTTTTTATTTTAACTTTATTTATTATTTCCAGTTATGAGTGTCACTCAATGTCTCTTATTATCTACACCGATCATTCTACCGCTCATTTCGATTGCGGTTTTATACAGTCCCTTAATTCAGGTAGTGAAATAATTTTCCTCAGAGAAACTTACCGCACGATTTCAGGCCTTTCTTGTTTTTCACAAACAAGTATGTTTGAAAATACGAATACATGAAGGAATTTCATTATAGATACCCATGCTTTCCAGCTCGTACTCTTATTCATCGTCTATAATTGCTATTTAAATTTTCTAAACAATCTCATTGGAAAAGAAATTATGGAAAAGATTATCTCAGACGATTTTCCGCGGAAGTCATTCTTCTGTCCCATTATAGATCTCTGATTTCTACAAAACTAAATTGAAACGATTTGTTTCACAAAATTAAATATGAGGAACTATGGAAATGTTGAATTCAAGGCTGTTACATGTACTTGTTCAACACTGTTCAACATCTCATCAGCAAGTTCATCGCATAGATAAATACCAGACCATGATTGGAACAAGACATCACTTGCACCAACTGCCAAATCGGCATCCCTCACCACTTCTGTCTCGTCGTTGCTGAAAAAAGTTTGCTAAAAAATGTCGCTAAAAAAGCGACACAGTGTACCATTTCACAAATATTCCTTATCATAACTGCTAAAAATTTTCAAAAACAGCAAAGTTTTAAATAGAAAATTGAAAGAAATGAAATAAAACAGACTTACTCGGCTGTTTCCTCATCAGCTAGATGGGTTATAAGCGGGAAGAGAGATATGATAGGCGATGATAAAGCTACGAAACAGGATAGGAAATATGCATTCAAAAATCTCAGCAGAGTTTTAATATGCAATTGGCGCTGAAAAGAATTAAAATTCAATCTTTCACTCTTTTTTCTTTCTACTGAAACTAAGTAAGAGTGTTAAAAAATGCTTCTAATTTGACAAATATTTAACACGGGACAATCATTATGCATAAACTCAGCAACTTTTCAAATCGTTTCTTAAAGAGTTATTGAAATGAATTTCCGGTAATGATTATAGCAAAATCTTGCAATTCACCCCTATGACATTCGGATTGGTAGCAATCTCATTGTTAAATCTCCCCTTAATATATAGTGAATTTTTCAATGAAGTAACAAATGGTGGTGACGATGATACTGTTATCAGCTTTGATTGCACTCCAGCAGATGCATCTCTCTTGCCTATTTGTATTTTCTTTAACTTCATCATTTCCTTAATCTGCAAAAAAGTATTTTTTTTGGAAAACTCAAGCACAATTAGGTTTAAATTCATAGAAAAACGGCAATAAAATACGAACTAATTTAAAGGAAATAAAACACAAAGAATTCAGTGAATACTTCTTGGAACGACAAAAAAGAGTTATTACGTGAGTGTCGAATATGTCCATTATTTCTCCCAACTTTGGAATTCTGTATTTTACTGGTATATTGCTCTCATCACCCATTGCAAAACCATAAACAGCAGGAAATGAAAGGACGCTGTAATTAATTTTTGAGACACTTCCATCGTTACTAGAGTAACTAAGGCTTCTCAGGCTTTTGATGATTACGAAATGCAACCATAATATACTGGAGTGTGAAAAAGTTTGGCATTTAAATCATCAAACGGATGGGTTCCAGCAGATACTCTTAACTGATGCGCTATCAAAATTTTTGAAAAGATTGATGAATTTTTTTTTTCAGAACTTTTCAGCCGAAATTAATTAGCAAATTTAGAACTTCGCGATTTGCTCTCTTTCCGGTGCCAGCCATGCCTGCGAAATCATAACATTTGCAATTTGTATAACTTGATTTAACAATTCGGTTGTTCTCCAAGCTGAGCATGAAGAAATATACTGTATAAGACCCAATCGTCTGGAAAAACATCAGACTGGAAAATTGATTTCTCTCAATTTCCTAGTTTTTTCTAATCAATTTTCTAATTGACCTCTGATTTAATCATCCGAAATTTCTTGTAACAGAAACTAGTAACTAAAGTAAGTAAAACTTTGGCATTTCTTATTTGACTTTTCTCAGTATCTCTTTGATCTATTATTTTTTTCGAACTTTTAGGGGAAGAAATAACTTACACACATCGATGCCATGTTGTCGGAGCAGGCCTTAAAGTAATTTCAAATATTGTTTCAATGAGCCAATGGAATCTCCTCACATCGGTAACATCCAAGCAAAATTTCAGTGCGATATCCCAATAATATACTGTTTCTGACATCAAACCTGCAACCATTCAAATACATTTGGGACTTTTCTGCCAGAAGTAATTAAATGATTGGAAATTAACTTAAATTTTCAAGATACCTTCAATTTGGTAGAGAATAATAGGTTTCAACCAGACCCATATCTCCTGCAGGTTTTTGAAAACCCAGTTCCTTGAACCACGGATAATGCCAGCGCAATATACTGCCGCAAGTTTCGTCTGTGCGCGCCGTATAACAGGACGCTCATTCTTTAAATTATCATTTATAAGCTTTGGCACAAAATCATTTGTTGGATCGCAAAAATTTCAATACAACTAGCTGAGAATTTTTACTCAAATACGATAATTTGCAAAAGAGTATACAAAAATGAATTGAAACGAAGTGCTTTTACCTCCGAACTACATAATGATTCTAGCAATATTTTAAATTGCGGTGCCAGTGAGTTACCAAAGTTTCGGAACAAATACTGAAAAGAGAGTCAGAAATTACTATATGGATACCATAATGGTAGCAAATGGTTTATCTGTCTTACCTATAATAAAAGAATGAAAAAATTCAAGATCAAAATCAAAATGATAAAATGCGATAGGATACTTTTACAAAACGATATTCGCTGACATAAAATACATCACTGTCTTCCTTTTCTTTTAACAGGATAGCATGCCAAAAGGTAAGAAATTGTTCATCCTTCATATATTCAAGTATTAATTTCTCAACATCATTAAATTCCGACACGGAGCGCTGCAGTTCTGTTTGCGCGTTTGCTGGAGCTGACACCATTAATTTCCTGAAATACTGCAAATATATCAATTCAGGAGAATAGAGCTGCAGCGCACCATACGTTTTTGGTAACTTACATCATCATGAAGTAAACGGTATTGTATACAACTCTACCGACACAGCAGTTTTAATCCTACTCTCTCTGGAATACTCCAGTATGCCTTTACAACACTTGAAGGATCCAAATGTTTGCAATTTTAGCCTCTTAACCAAATATTAGTAATTTAAGATAGTGGAAAGGAGAAGTTAAACAATTCTATCACGACATATCACATATTTAAGTTCAGAACAAGCAAACAGAGGTATCTAAGTAACTGTTAGTTATCCTGATATGCAGTAATTCCAAAAAGTGTCATGCATAATTTCACCTTGGCCACTGATAAGCGCCCCAGTGCGGCTTCGATACAAATATTGTTTCGTTCCAAGTTTGTTCATCTTTTGGCAACCGAGCACGGTCATAAACGATGCATAAATTATCAGGTCTTAAACCACATGCATATTTGAAATGCGGATCAAATACCTGAAGAACCACAGTGTTTACATATCAAAAAAGTAACCTCTGCAAACTTAATAACAAAATAAGATGCCAGTAAACTTCGCAGATACTAAAATGCCTTATCAGGTGGGTCCCATAATATTCTTTTTGTCAGTGGCTTATTCCATTCTAAATAACTAGAGAGACATTCAGCAGCAACATGTCGCCACCTTGCACGAACATCAACCAACATTTGCAGGAATACCTAAAAATACTTTATTTAATTTCATCTCATGCCACTGAAATAAAGCAAGAAAAATTCAACAATTTTTGAAAGCTGAAGGTAAAAAAGAGTCAAATCTTTCAATTATGCAAACTAACTTCTGCCACTTCAGCCGTGAAAAGAATTCGATGAAACGTGAAAAGGAATGTTCGCGCTGAATCAACTTGCCGCCAATGGTACAGCTGTCCCTTATTTTTGCATATTTCGGTGAGTTCATTGCGAAAACCATCTATTCGTCTACAATAATAGATACAAAGTTCCTTATACAATGCTGTTCAATTAACTTTTTACCAGCTCAAACTAAATATCTTAAATGACAGATCACGGCAACTGCGGTCGACATTTACTGATTAACAAGAAATTATGAGGAGTCATTTTTTATGAGAATTCAGGAATATCAGACTTACTGTTGATTCTTTTCATGCTTTTCATTGAATCTGTTTTCTGACGTAAGAATTGCCTGCAAGCAAGATAGTTCTTGGTATTTGGCACAAAATCTGTTGTTAGCATTGCTATCGGCAAGCATCTCCTGTGCAATGACACGAATGTTTGTTGAATTCTGTAAAGAAATTTGCTAATTAATAACTTAATGAGTATTCCTCATAGAATCGACCAGACTTTCTTGCCTTTAAGATAAACTTTATACTTCACCTTCACCTTTTTTTGTTCTCTTAAATTTTCTTCTGACTATTCAATACATTCAATTTTTTCAATTTTTTCAAATTTATTCAATACAAGTAAAATTACTTGTATTGAATAAATTAATAATGCTAGATAATTTAAACAAAAATTACGGAATACTGTCAATGGAATTAGGAAATGTCAAACTCAAGATACGACATCTAAATTATCTTGTATCATTGAGTAATGATAAAATATTTTATATCGTCACAATTTTCGAAGCATTAAGTGATGAATTCACTATTATTACTGAATTTCACCTTCTCAGCGAAGGTAAAAATTTATTGAGAGAGCTCTTATCAGTAAATCCTGGAAAAGTCAAATATATAGTGAAGTTAAACGAAATGAGTTAATGCAAATCCCCTTAATGTTTTTATTTTTAAATAAAATGAGCAAAACTTTGGATAGAACTGTGAATACATTGGTCTAGCTAAAAACTTACGATGTTTCTTTCAAGTATCCAATGTTTCACAGAAACAGAATCAATACAGTGTTGTACCAAAGCAATTATAGACGGCTTCTCGGAAACTTTAAGCTTTGCAACTGCTAACCAACACTTACATCGGGTAGAAATTGTATTTGAAATTAAAAACCCACATTTGTTCAAAATATACAGCGCACCCTAGAAAATCTATTTAGATCATGCTAAAGTGCAGTAATTCCAATCCAAAGAAAAAAAAACAAAGAATTCGGTCCACAGCACTAATTCAATTTCGCAGCTTTAATATTAATAACAAACAAATTACTTTCAATTCAATCTAAAAAGGACACTTTTCTGGGTTACCTTCATTTCTTCATGACTGATATTACGTTTTGGATCTAAATGCTCCAACACATCGTCCACTAACAAACATTTCGAATTTGGAAATTTTGTTGTTAGTTTGATCAGCGTTGTTTGAGAGGCGATACGTACCTTTAACAAAAAAATTTAGTATAAAATTATTTTAATAGAAGTCTTTTCTCTTATATTTGAACATACTGGCAAACCTTACATCGGTGAAAAAATTTGTCCCAAGTTTGATGAGATCCTTCATGATTTTGAGATGTGATTCGGTGAATTTGGAATTTTTGATATACAGATCCTGAATTTACTTTCACGGATAACAAATTTTTATGACTAATGTAATGAAACAAATTGCTAACACCATTTTGCTGCCTGAGTGCCGACATGTACAATCATATATTTATCGTAGAAGTACAGAGAGAAATGTTATTCTACATTAAAATTACTTCATCTCACTTGCTCAAAACAATAATTTTTTGATCTCCGTGTCCTAAATTTTTGAAACCTGTGGACTCGACTTCAAGCAATTCAATAAATTAATGAATAGCAAACTTTTTGATATGAAAAAACCCGCCGTTCAAAAGCGTCATACAGTTCAGCACGACGTCCCTGTATCGGGTCATTGTAATTTATTCTTGTATTTTTTCTGCGCGCACGAAAACTCGGTGATGACTAAATACGTCTGTTAGTTTGCTTGAATTCTAAAAACTTTTGAAGATTGCATTTTCTAAACAAGAAATATGAAAATCATTGAGAGAAGTCGTGATATGAAATCGAAGGAAAATACTACAGGACACTTACTCCCTCAGTACATAATGTTTGCAGGACTGAAGAAATGAGCAGAAGATTCTTGGACTGATCGTCCTGCTGGTTCAATAAAAATTCCATTAAATTATGCATTGTAATACGCACTCTTTCTCGAATATTTTCACCGTTAAAAAAAAGCACTGAAAATGTCAAAAGAGATCTTAATTAACAACTTAATGGAGGCCCAATTACATAGGAGTTTGCTGATGTGTGAAAACGACAACTCTTTCTCATTTTCACGTAAAAGTTTGGAACTATTCGAGAGAAACAATTCCACTTCATAATTTGTCATCGAATCTATTTTAGATTTTAAAACCCTTAAAAACTAGAAATATCATACAAGATGCGCTAATCATCTCTCTTTTTAGTCAAATAATGGTTTTCTAAAAAAGAAAAAAAACGAAAGAAAATGGAACTTTTCATGCGCGGTGACACAGATGTTATATGTATGGGATCCATATCAACAATCGTCTCACTCAGCTTAATTTCTTTTGTATTGAAAATTGGAAGACGATTGCCAACACAGGACAGTAAGCTATCGACAACGAACAATGAACGCTTGATTGCAAATCTGTCATTTCATAATTTTAATTTTTTTAAATAATTTGAAGTCAAATTCAATTTCTAAATTTCGATATTTTTTTTTTGTAAACAGAATTGCATGAACAATAAATTAACAATCTTGTAAGAATTGAAAATTTGTAATCCACGGAAAGTTCAATAAAATACTACATAAAGCTGATGGAAGCCAAAGAAAAGAAACAAACTTATCCATATTTTCCGGCGCTGCGAGTAATTGAACCTCGGAATAAGCAAATTCATTTAATAATTTTTCTGCAAAATCCACTTCAGCATCCGTTGGGATATGCCATTTTATTGTCACAACATCTTTGAGACACTTAACACCCCATTTCTGTAACAGAAATATAAACTTTTATGGGCAGTTCCAATGTTAAAAGTCTACCGTTATCTATCTGTGCATGAAACTTCCCATTTATAGAACAGCAGCGTTTTCAAGATCGATATTTGTCGTGAAAGCCAATACGAACCGTGTTGTCGTAAATCATTCATTATTGTTATTATTTTCTCTACTATTTATCAAATCAATACAAAAAAGATCAACATCATTATCATTTTCCAAGAATTTTTTGAAATAAATTCAAGATTTACCTTAATAGGCAAAGATAAATGCAATGGCAAGTCCAGATTACGTTGTCTATCTTCCTCTGATATAGGATAAATTTCTATTAGCTGTGTTAAAAGATTTTTAAGCGACCAACATGATCCCTACAAAAAATTCAAGAAAACAATAGAAAATTTTGTAGCAAATTTAAAAAAGTTTATAACCAGCAGAAAAGAAAATTTCTAGCATAGATCATTCTCAAAAATTGAGTTGAAAAAAAAGTACCTGATATGCGTTATAACAAACCATAGACATAGTACATTTGTGCATTTGAATACATTCCTTTTGATACTTTAATAGCAAATTACTGGGCACAGAGAAGATCATCTCCGACAAATATGTAAACCACATCGTCGTTGCATCAAGTTCTTTCAATATTTTCTTCTCTTCTGAAATACGAAGTAACTAAAGAAACACGAAAATTCCTTTATCCGTAAAAACACCACTCCCATTTTACATCCTTCTAATAATTATGAATATCCTACATTCAAATATTTGCAAGCTGAGCGTCTATACAATATATTGGAAAACTTGTAAATCTTTCATTTAAATATTCATGAAACTTTCAGTCGGCATGCGGAAACAGCTAATTCATTCACCTGTTACGCACTGTTTTTGCTTCTCCAACAAAAATTCAACATACATCGGAAAATAACGGACCGGATTGGCCTGAATATAACCGGGTTAAGCTGAATATTAGCCTGAATTGCCCATTTTATAAGCATTCAGTACAGTTCAAGGTTATGGCAAGATGGAATGAAAGTGGCAAAAACCTAAAAACTGAATATATTTTCCCTGAAATTCTTTAAAATCTTTAGCAGTGACACGTTTTCTCTGCTCGTGCTTATCTTTACTTCTCATTATTTAAAGGTTAAAAAAGAAATATGCTTGAACTGCAGTATGCACTTACATAAATGGATTCTTGCATAAGTGAGCATGCAGCATCGGCAGCAATAACGTTTTCGAATTCAGACGTAGAAATGAATTTGTAGGTCTGATCACCGATTAGCTAAAAAATGAACCTCAAGGTTGGTCTTAAGTTCCATTTACGTATCCTTACTGTCCACTTTTTTTTCTCACCTGTATTTAAAGTATTCTCTTTTATATCTGGAGGATGTGATAATAATTTAAAAAACGCATATTCACTTATGCTTCATTAAAACTCATAGCAATTTCTTTTCTACAATTACAAAAATCAATATCGGTACTTTAAATACATATAGGAAAAAGTGGAAAAAGCTTGAACACAAATCTGCCAATCGATTTATAGGCTGGGTATATTGGATAAGAAATTATGAAATTTAAAATTGTAACTTAGCTTATAACCTCTAGATGAATCAATGAATAGATTAATATGGACAGTTGAATAATCTTCATCAAGTACAATTAAATATCGGGAGTAATTTGGTTTCTGTTGATAAGATTTTAAACTGTTTACTAAATTTTAAGTGAAATTTGACTTAATTAATGCCTTGAAGTTACTCTTACAAAATAGGATGTACTCACTGTAATGTACTCTCATAATTAAAATATCAAACAATGAATTCTAATGGCTACACCATACCTCAACAAAATTGGATGAACAATTAGAGAATAATGCATGAAAAGCGCTTTGCATGCTTGTACTTATCACAGCTTCTTCATTTCCAATCAATATTATCTCCGAATTATCACATATAGAATCCACATATGATATGCCATCACTTGGAGCAGAGCTTGATAGTTGCGTTATTACTTTGAATATTCTAAAATTGCTATCAGATGATGTGACCACTCAAATATGATAGTAGTAACTGTCAGAAAAGAACATTCAACTTTACAAATAATATTTGTTCACGCTAATAAAAATATGTTCTAATTAAAGAGAAGGTAAAATGAGACTTTCAGTGCTCCTCAGTGCATATATCAAAAGCGCAGATAGAAATGTAATCTAGAATTGGACAATAATGAGAAAATCAAATATATTAAGATTGAGGAGAAAAGTGCTCTGAACCCGGCTTTCGAATATAATTATAAACATAGTTAGCAATACTTAAAATATTTAAAATGTGATAAGTAAAATCATAATGTGTTGTATGCTTACTTGTACAATATCAAAACAACACAGTATGAATGATACTATCTATAGTTCACAGCGTTGCAAAATTATTTCATTATCCCATAACTTTTTAGCATCAAAAATCAGTTTAACTTAAAACACAGTACTATCTCGTGCTTCAGTAATTAACTTTTGAAATAACTTAATTTAGCTTAAACTTATGTAGTGATACTTTTCTGCTTAATGAAAAAATAAAAAGCGCAAAAGCAGACAATTTACTTATTCACAAAGTCCTGCACGATATTTGGGAACCGTGATGTTAATTTACAAAGATGTTTCTCCTCTTCGCTTAAATCCATATACTTTTCCATTTCGGGAGCAGCGGAGCAATCCACAATTGGAACTAATTGGAAAATGGTTTCCAATGTCTAAATTCACACCAATTTTACAAATTCATGCATTTTTCGAAAAAAATAAAATAAAAATAAATAAAAAACAAAAAGAAAACGGTCGCATAATTCCATCCAAAAGAATGCTTATCCTTGTTCCTAGCAAACCTTAGTTCATGCCTTTATCAATTAAATAACCTATTGAACCTATTGCACTGAATGCTTAATAACTTATTCCTGCTGATAGTATCCACAGATAAGATTTAAAATGTATACCGCGGTATTTTCTATCTAACTCAAAATAGTAATCTCCGGATTCTTCTTCTGAAATAGGCAGAAAATTTAGAACAGTTCAAATTCATATTCTATGGCCTTCTTGAATTAGTCAAAGATGCAGTAGATGTGTGATCTGAGAATGATGAGTTCGAACTACAGCAGAGGAAAAGTACTTTTTCTGAAATATAATTTTTGGTTAGAAGCAAAAGAGAAAACGAGTTTCTAATGGCAACTCTTCCAACTGCCATAAAGCATTGAAGATACTCCTCATTTTGCTTCATGTTAACAATCCGTAAGTTACGAAATTAAAATTACAAGATTTACCTGCAAAGAAAGTGAGAGTTTCTGGAAATCATTGATGTCGATAGCTTCAATCAGTACCTCAAGCAGAAAAATGGCGTGTTCACGCAGTGGTACTCGACACTTATCAGAACGGACCTCCGATTCGTTTATAATAGACGATGGTGTTGATTTGTATTCCCTATCCTGAATTTTTTTTTAAAATAACAAACAGTAAATTTATGCGCAGAAATGAATTGTTCTATCTTCTCACTTCGTTGAAATGAAGGATTAGTAATCGGAAAAAAGTGGGACAATTTGTCACTTGCTTTTTAAAAGTATTCGTAGTAGTAAAATTGTTGGAAATAAGTATTGAAGTAAGAATAAAGATGTATTATGTTAAGGAGACAGTAATGTAGCATATGTTATTCTTATCTATACAGTAATGACAAAGCTATCAAAGATGAAATATCAGTATTAATGTAAATTTACTACGATCATACTGCAGAAATAAAGTTACGCGAAAGTCTTAATTGTATCAGAAATATGAAAAACTACTGTATCATATTAACACAACATAAATTTAACCATAAGCGACCAATTACCTCTTTGATCTTATTGATACCATTAATCCAATTTTGCTTGCAAACATTGTATGTTCGATAACTATTGGTACCATTATCACGGACCAGTGACACGCAAATTTCAACAATGCATTCCAGTGACTGCTTCAAACGATGCGGTTCTGTGGTGGTCGATAGCGATGGATAGATTCTAAAAAAAAATTCTTGCAATAAATGAAGCTATTTTTCATTAATTTCAAGAAATTGGTTTAATTATCTTGGATTATAACTTCCAAAATTTCCACTGCTAACAGTATTTGCAATGGTGACCATGCTGTCTATTCGCTTACAAGTTTCTAATGGTTACAATGAGCAAAAATGACTTATTATGACATTTTGAAATATGACAATTTTGTGTTCGATGGTAACTGATTGTCTTTACGAATCACATTTTATTTTAGTGACTTCTTATCCGAAAAATCAATCAAATGTATCAGCTTACAAATCGAGACATTTCGGTAGGACTAGCTGTGGTGCGAGAAATGCTAAATTTCGCATAACGTTAGACGTCGATGTTTCAGTCGTTGAAAACACTGAATAAAGTACAGACGGAAGCAATATGCTGACGAACCATTCAATCTGTTCATCCGTGAGGCGCATTTTCGAAGGTACCTGTGCATAATTTGATATCGATTTCAGACAATACGTAAATGATACAATTAGTTACAAATTATAGGGAGAATTTACAACTAGAAATCACCAACTTTCTCGTTCAGAGCAAAAGAAGACCTTTTTCCTAGTTTTTTGTCGCACTCGTTCAGTGCGGACACGTCGCACCATTTCATTGACAACAGCGTCAAGAAATGACTGTAGAGTTGGCGTATGACCACCCTCGTGCAACGGATGCAGGAAAGATTCGACGCATTTGATTAATCGTTCGAAACACTGATGAGCACTGAAATGCAAGCAATATCGAATACCGCCTACTAAATAAGAAATAAAATAACTGAGGAAGATTGGAATGTTAAAGAGTAAGTAAAGAAACATTATGACCAATCTACTAAGTTCACTAACTACAAATCTCTAATCTAATTGCAAAATCAGAAGAAACCTTTCATTCACTCCACCTAGCATCCATACGATCCATTCTGCACCGGAACTTTCAGAGCCCATCCCTGTCCCATCGCCAACTGCTACTTTATTATATCGTACACTTAGATTCAGTGTCCGCAAAAGTTTTGAGAAAATGATCGTATGCTTGGATGACCAATCGATATACCCTGGACAATATTCACTTATCCTGCAAATTACTGAAATACTTCGGGTATTCTCACCATACTACCAATTTAACCCACTGATACCATATACTACCGATTTATTTCACTGATACAGCGTTTATTTCTAGTGCGGCAGAAAGTTTGATTTCCATTTTTCATGGCCATCTCCAAATCCCTGATTTTTGGAATTGCTGTGCTTGCAAATAATAACTGGATCCATTCTCGATATCCATTCAAATAAAAGGGAAATTTAAAATTTTCAAAAAGTTGCCGATCAAAGTATCATTATGTCCTTAATTTCACTTACAGTGGAAATGCTTGTTACTGAGGGGTAAGTTACTGGTTTTCAATTATATTATGGTATTCATGAAATGTAGGAGCAATGAAATTGGAATGAAGACCCAAAAGAGTAAAAAGAAGTGTCATAACTTGTTCGAAAATTCGATAATCAGAGGTCATTATTTGTCGGAAAAACCGAAATAGTTATATCGTAAAATCATTCATTCAAATAGATCGCATTTACATATTTTTTCTCTCATGCTTAAATTCATGAGTCAGTTATCTAATCTACTAAAAGTGCTTCTTTTGATGTTAAGATTTGTGCATATATGGTAACTAATTTGTAAAGGCTTTATCTCATGCAAAATCTTATATACAATGGTGATAAAGCTATACATCAGATAAAATAATTTCTACGCAATCTTTTCTAAAGAGAACTGTTCCTATATGTAAATTTCTCTTGCACCTGTGAGAATATTGTCAATATACAATGATTGTTCCTCTTCACACAGCCTATATATAAACCCTAAGAATCCCTAAGAAGGTTTAATGTTAATGTTAAATTTTTCTCCACGTCGCTACTCAACGCTACTCAGTATAATCCAGACTTATTTCCTCTCTATTTACGAATCTTTACTTCAATACTTCTCCCGTTATTCTACGTTATTGGACCTTATTATACTACAATCGGAATTACTTCTAACCTGTTATTATTGTATTTGTTATTGAACAACAATAAAGGATAACTATTATATTCCTCGAACACATAACCAATCGGTATTCAGTAAGTCACTTTTTTATAAAGAAATAACTGCTTTATTACTAACAAAAAACAGTAATCCTCATCTTCTCACTCTCATAATAATTCTTTCACGACATTATTTCCTAAATGCCCC